AGTCCCATCGCCTAGGGGAATGAAGTGTACCCCTCCCATTCCGGGTCCTGCGGCATCACAGGCTCCTATGGTGGCTGGCCATGGATCCGGGACCAGCTCCGCTATGCGAGTGGGTCGTTCTGAKATATCCTTTGCCAACCATCGAAAATCATCTAAGAAGCTGTGCAAAGCTCCMGTCAATCGAAGTCTATTTCTCCCTTCTTCCTTATGGCGTAGGGCTTCCTGTAGGAGTGAAAACAGGCCTAGGCTGCCTGGTAAAGCAACTGCCATGGACCTAAGTTCACCCAGGAGCTTATGCCAGTCCGGGATCCGGGCATACTTTTGGCCGGGTTTGATAGCTTCCAAGATCCCCTTGAGTCGGCTTATACGGTGCGGGGGGAGGCTTATAGTCTTGTTTTCGGTGTTCAGCAGCCACCCCAGTATGATTTTGGTGGTTGCCCATGTGGCATCCCCTTTACGAAGTTTCTTGAGGGAGGCCGGCTCCTGCCTGTGAGGCGTGTCCCTTGCATCCAGTGGGCGGAATACTTGGTCCAAGGAGTGGAACAATGCTCTCTTTACGGCTCTCCTCGTCCACTGGTTCCCCTGGACAAGCCCGCAAAAATCATCTACGTATATATCCCAGTACCGGAGAGGTTTCTTCATCTGGTAGGTAGCTTCCGGGTATCGGTACTGGGCAGTACTAGGCTCACTACTGGAGGGCTGGGCCTCGCCAGCTCCCTCCACGGGGGACTCAGAGGTCCGGTCCAGCCTGTGAGGACGGGACCTCATTGCGGTGAGGCCCTGTGGACTTTGCAGTACGTCATTCGCCAGGTCAGCAACTGTCTCGGTGCATGCACTGAAGTTTGGTGGAGAGGAACACCATCCCATGGGGTTGGTAAGCGGTATACCAATTAGTGCCGGTTCGTCCTCCCGTCGTGGGAATAGTACTGAGAGCCCAATGGTGTCTTCGGGCTTCACCCAGAGCCTATAGAATCCATCTGAGAGGTCTATTTTTGAAAGATAGACAGGTCCAAACCGGGCGTTGGCTCTGTGTATTCGTTGGAGGAGCCTCTTGAGTGTACGACCAAATTGCATTGCTTCCATGGGGGCTAGAGGGACAGTTTCTTCGTTCACTCCAAAGTAACTGTAATCGGAGATCATTCTGTCCCTTCGCCCCCTTTGGGGGACAAGCCCTAATGGGCTGAGCCTGAGACCCGGTTCGTGCTTTATTAGCGCTGCTGGTAGGACTGTCCACTGTTGCTTGTCCATCATGTCAGCATACTCCTCCCGGAGGAATTCTATACCGTTCAAGGAGGACTTGTGTGGTCCCCTCGCTAGTGCGGCCTCGATCCTTCCGGGGTTCCAGCTTGGGGGCTTCATGCAAGCTGGGGTTCCCTCTTGCTGGTATTGGCTGAGGAGCCGGCTGGCTGGATGGGGTAGGGTGCCTACAGCTGGGTGTAGGTCTCCCCTACCTCGGACAGACCGTATAAAATCGCCCCAGCCGGTCGAAGCTTGGTAGGCTTCTACAGCACGGGCTACGTGTTTATCCAACCGGTCCTGGGGGTAGCGGGTCCCTCCTGTGGAGCGGATGAGTTGATGGCGTACGGCAGGCTCGGCTCGACCGTGTACTGTCGTTAGATCAAAAGCAGCAGCCGCCTGTACTCGCTTGTCCAGGTCTGTGCTGTGTTCTTTCACTTCTTCGGGGTCTCGGTTATCCAAAGTGGAAGACTCTAGTACTGGAACGGCCTCCAGCGGCTTCATCGTAGCGGTTGCATCCAAGAAAACAGGGTCACGCACACGGGGCTTCTTACCTAATTCTTTYGTGATGAGGAGCTCGGGCCCCCCATCAACATCCTCTGTCTTCTTCAGCGGATGTGCTGTGCGAACTGTGATACCGGTGTTTCCCATCCTTCTCAGTTTCCTAGGAGGGGGCAACGGCACAGCAGCTTCATTCGGAAGGGGAGGCTGCCTGCCCCCTCTTCACTGGGGCCCGTAGGCCTCCAGGCACCATTCCCAGAATGGATCACTCTCTTCCTCGGTTGGTTCCTTATGGTCATAGCTGAGCTTACAGCTATCGTAGCAGTACCCCTTTGCCTTCCACGAGTGACACATTTCTTTCCCATCTGTGCGGAGGCAGGGTCCCTTTCCTTTCGATTTCATGTTGCCCATAGCCTTGGAGATCTTCCAGGCCTTGATACGGGCTCCCAACTCCCCTTCCGCGTTGGCAATACGGGGGTCCCGGTTTGTGTTTTCTACTCGCACTTGGGGGGGGGGAGAGTTGCTCAGGGTCCCCCCCCCTAGCTTGGCTGCCTTGGTACCAGCGGTAGTACTTTTACTGGATCTGGGTACGGTGTTAGGGGAGTTACTCTGGGCCTTGGTCTTGCGGAGGGCCTCCAGCTCAGGTACATCGGATACGACTGGGAGCCAGTTCAGGTTCTTAGAGCTCTTGTAGGCCCGGAACTCTTTCGTAAAGTCCGGGGGCTCAATGGGCTCCTCGCTACTCCATTGCTCTTCAAACCAGTACCGAATCCGTAGCTGGAAATAGTACACTAAAATCCCTGGGCCCAGTTTGTCTCCACATGCATCACATAGGGCATACCGGAGTGACAGCTGGATCCGTTCCAACCGGTCTACTCCACTTAAGTAATTCCTTACGACGGGATGATCTATCCCTATGAGTGTGGCTAGTACTGGAAGATATCCTTTGATCTGGAGTAAGGCTTCGATCCAGTCCAGGGGCACATATCCCTTAGCCTTTCCCAAGATGAGGGCATCTGATAGGTTGAGCGAGTTTCCTTCCGTGGATACTAGAGTGTCGTAGGCAAGGGCGGCTGTGGCGTCCTCTAGTTGCTTCTTCCTGGCTGTAGGGGACCCCCCAGGAGGTGCAAAGACCATGGGAAGTATGCCATCTCCCAGGTCACATTCGTCTATTCCATAGAAGCGAAAGGCTTGGAAGGTCTTGAGGACCGACGTGGGGACAAACGGGGCTTGGAGCCCCATTTCTTTAGCAGCTTGGTCTACATAGTTCTGGAAGAGGGCATGCAGTTTTTCCCCTTTCTTCTTCTTGGTCCAGCCCTGATACACAGGGGGGAGATCTTCGGGGCACTCCTTCCGGCACAAGGACTGGAGCCGGGTGACATTCAGGGCCCCGATGATATCTGCCATGGAGGCGGGCTTGGACTCCTCAGCCCGTCGTCGCTCATTCGCTTCATTGACTCGTACTTGGTTATCGGTTAGAGTGGATACGGCTGCTGTGAGAGCAGCAGTTTCAGGACCAACGTGTGTGGGGACTGATCCAAGTCCCGGCAGATCCCGATGGAGAACCTTGCGATCCATGTACAGGGTTAGACTAGCCTCAGCTCTAAAGAGTGGGCCCGGCTCAGTGTAACTGATAGCGTGTACTTCCGTGTTTATAGCTGAGATTACATGAGTACCAGCGACACGTAGGGTATCTACGAGAGGCTGCGATACAGCATCTAAGCCTTTTTCAACTAGCCAAGGCATGATAATTAGGAAAGCCTCCCTTGGAGGGAGTTGCTTTCCTAACACCAAGGGCATTAGTTCAAAGGGTATGAAGAAGGTCCGTCGGCACTTAGTGACCTCGGTGGTAGGGTCCTCGTGGGCCCGTGGAGGCAGTATCGGTGTTCCTGGTGAGGCTTCCAGGGCTGTTTGGTGTTGCCCTACAGTACAGACTCTTACTTCTTGGGAAATGGAGAACATACTGGTGGTGAGTTGGACGATCTCTCCTCGACCGGA